TTTCTAACGTTCGCTGCTGTAAGTGATGATACAGTGAATACCTTGTGCATGCATTTGTTTCCTGTTTGTGGAGGCGTTTCTTCACGGTCGACTCCTACAAGTGATATTGCTAGCTCAAAGGGGAAATGCATTTGTCCTTTGAGGATATCTTTGAAGTAGCCTCCAAAGGGGAAGTGCCATTTTGTACTCCTCCCAGCAGTGCTCAAAAGTGCCTGCTTCCCAGCTCTTGCCAACAGTATACTGTCAAACCTCTGGGTTTCTGCCATTCAGATAGGTGAGAGTGGAATCTCAGTGGGACATTTGTCATTTAAATTAAATTACATAGACATATAAGACCGAGAGCACTGCGAGCCCTCCTATTTGGACAACAGAAGAAATAAGCTTATTTTAGTAACCTAATGGAAGCACCATCACCCCAGTGGGGAGAAACAAATTCTTTGTTCAAAACTCCTCTGTGATGGGAGGTCCCTGCAGGGGCCCTCTGCCTGCAGGATTTCCACTGACTCACCTTCATTTTCCAAAGCCCACCCCTGCCGGTCAAGGCTGTGCATTTGCCTGAGTGGACGGTGTGTTGTGACTGCCAAGTTTGCCTCTCCACATTGGGCTTTATCTGGCCAGTAGGGAGCTCCATCTCCCTTTGCCCTTGAGGAATCATTTTCTTCTAATCCCCTTGTTAATTGCTTTAGGTGTCCAAAGCACATTAAACAGGTGCACCACAGAAAGAGATCCCTAAGTCAGACTCCCTCCCCAGCCCATTCTGGCCTTCTTGTACTTGTCTTTAAAGATCTGACAGAGGCAATGTACTTAGTGGTTAGGCATGCAGGCCCTGGGGCCAGACTGTCCAGATTCAAATCAAGGCTTCGCTACTCCCTAGCTGGGTGATACTGGACACTTTCCTGACCTCTTTGGGGCTGGGTGCCCTCCTCTGATCAGTGGGATAACAATAGCACCTATTTCGTAGTGTAGTTGTGAAGAGTAAACGAGTTATTTATGTACTTAGCCTGGAGCTCAATGAGGGGCACACAGTAAACTCTGATGAAGGTGAGGTCCTGGTGGTGGTGGTGGTGACAGCGCTGCTGCTGCTGCTCATGCTGAGGATGTGGTAGTGATGATGGTGATTAGGAGCACACTGAGCCCTGCTGCGTGTTTGTGACCTTGAGCAAGCAGCTCGATCCCCCCATTTTGTTTCTCATTTCATCATTGGTTTGTAGCGATGGGCATAATACTGTCCATCTAAAGCGAGAATCAGCCAACTGCTGCCTGTGGGCCAAAGTCTAGCCTGCTGCCTGTTTTATTTAGTTCTTTGTTTGTTTGTTTGTTTGTTTAGAGAGAAAGGGAGAGAAAGAGGAAGAGACAGAGACAGAGATAATGTGAGAGCGAAACATTTATTGGCTGCCTCTTGCATGTCCCCCATCTGGGATTGAGCCCACAGCCTTTCGGTGCATAGAACACACCCAACCACTGAGCCATACCAGTCAGGGCACTGCTGCCTGTTTTTATGAATAAAGTTTTATTGGAACACAACCACACCTGCTTGTTGACATGATGTCTATGGCTGCTTTCACACTGCAATGGCAGAGTTGAGTAGTTAGTTGTACCTGAGACCTTATGGCCTATAAAGTAAAAAATATTTACTATCTAGCTCTACAGAAAAAGGTTATTGACCTCTGATCTACAGGAGTGGTTGTAAGGATGTGGGACATGAAGCTTGTGTAGACCTGGCACGTATTTAGGTGTTCAGTACAGTGGGGCTGCAGCAAGCCAGCATTTAACTTTCATGAACTACATGCCCCAGTCTTGTCCCCACTTCTGCTACTCTCCTCCAACTCCAAGAGGAAAATTGGAGTAATTACAATATGAATAGTTTAATTAGAAATATCATAAATGATATTTTTATCATGTAGCACACATTTCCATATGCATTAAATATTGCACATGCATACTAGTCTGCAGCACTGGATCTGAGAGGCTGTGTCCTGCAGGCTGTGCTTTGCGGGAGGTGTAAGGCTCCTTTTCAGGGGTAATTTTGATGCCGATTTCCCTTGCCCGATGACTTCAGAAGCTAACATCCAAGGAAGCAGCAACTCCCCTCTGAATGGTAGCGATGCATATTATTATCTGCATCTAGAGCAAAGTAAAACTGAATGTCACAGTTTTCCTACCACTGAAAATAAATCCTGAGGCAGATAAAATCTCTCTGAAATCATAAGTGAGAGAATGATATTATAGTTAAAAAATTCAGTGCATTCACTTCTTTTCATCTCTTCCCCAGGCACACATCTGTTTTATAAAGTGAGGTACACAGGTATCATTTACATTTGGCCTTATTTATTGTTTCATGGCTGAATCTGGCAGGTCACCTTGCAAAAGGCAGAGGAACATCCCCTTAATTTTGCAGGCAGCATATATGTTAATGTTACTCCTTCCACCTTGCTCCCTGAATTGTGAGAATAAAATGAGATCTCAGTAGGAGGATACTCAGAGAAGTGCAGCAGCAGTAGACGGGCCTGGTGTAATCTGGTTCCTCCCATCCTTGGCAAGAAGGAGCTGTGCCCACATGGAGTTACCTGGAGGATTACCTCACAGTGGTGTGAGGACAGGGGCATTAGATAACAAATGCATGTAATTAGAGCGAATTATCTTCATTGGAAAATAAGCACGTTGTTTTCCAATTTAATGAATAAAGAAGCTTCTAATTAACTCCAGTAAAGAGATTTGCTTTCATATTTCAGTAGTTAAGCTCTATGTTTTTTGTATTAATATTTTGTTTTTATGACCCAGCTTAATGGTGGTTTCTTTCCCTGTTCCTTATTGGTGAAACAGAATTTTATAGAAGAAAAGCAAACCCGGAGGTAATTTAGTCTATTTTTTTTTTTTAAGGAAGAAAATATGGTCCAGAGAGATCCTGTTGGATCCTGTGACTTATCCAGGGCACCCTAACTGGTTAGCTGTCCACTGGACCAGGTCCCCAGTCATGTGTCCAACCAACACAGGAAGGACCTCAGCTAGACGCTGGGTCCGCCATGCTTACCCTGGCCTAGCTCTGCTTCCTTTCTGCTCCCTACCCTTGCTCTGGGCCTTACTTGGCCCTGCTGGCATCGTACTCGCCTCAGAACTACTTCCGCTACTAAAAACCTCCTTCTCTGTCCCCTGGCCACCAGCCCACTCTGTCCTGTTCTAGGTCCAGACCTGTCCCTTAGCTCCTGGCTCTGCATTACATGGCCTGTATTACCTGGTGTGTCCCTCCTCTGACAGCCAGAGCAAGTGATTGTGGGAGCCGTCCACCCTGGCTCCTGCCCCAGAGCCTCAGAGGAAGGAAGTTGGAATAAAATTGGCCTAACAACTCATATCACTTGATCCCTATATCCTGGACTCTTTTCTAAAAATAAAAAAATATAAAAATAAACAACTTTATTTTTTAGAGCAGTTTAAGGTTCATAGCAAAACTGAGTAGGAAGTATAGAGAGTTCTCATATATCCCCTGTCCTAACACACCTACCACCTCTGCACCTATCGCCACCCCCACCACAGTGGTATGTTTTCCTAGGCTCTTTCTCATCCTTAAATCCTGGGTTCTTTGTCTTAAGGCAAAAAAAAGGAAAAAAAAAAAAGGAAAGAAAGAAAATACACACAGGATAGTCTAAGTGGCTCTCTGTGACCACAGAGGCAGGCATGCAGTCAGTTTCAGCTAAGTCCGTTCTGTCTTGTCATTCTCTTAGTCTGTCCCAAGGCTGGCTGGTCACCGTGTCAAAGCTCACACACAGATAACCCTGCTCTGGCCCTCTTAACCCGTCTTTCAGAACCAATTCCAAATTCCCGAGGCTGGGATTCTGATTGGCTGCAGCTGGGTCAGGGTCCCACCCTGGGGATGGGGAGGAGAAGAACAGAGAAGGGGGCAGTTTATGGTGTCATTACGGCTGAGCAGATAACCCCAAAGATGTTTACCAAACCATGATACTGTCTAATCCATGGTCTCCTGAGAAGTCACCAGGTGTCTCTTTTCTAAATCCTTTTAAATATTGGCCCCAGAGTTTGCCCAGAGGTTCATCTTTGGGCTTTAGCTCTTCCCTTATTCTCACCTTCTTAGAAAGAGCAACATGTTACTCCTTCCACCTTGTGCTTTATTGCCCGCTGGGAGCCCCACCCCCGTCATGCCCCGGTCATGTGTAGACCCACTGGAAGTAACCATGTCCAATGGTCCCCATCTCTTGCCTCTCAATAGGTCACCACTAAGCCTTCTTGCTCCTGCCTTCTGAGTGCTCTTGGCTAATGGGACATGTGGTTGTGGCATCCTCATAAATAGCCACTCTAGGGTGGGGTTGGACAGTTTGGGAGACGCCTTGACAATGTGCAGTGACTCTCATTTTCTATTTTAAAACCAAGGCAATCCATTAATTTTTCATTAAGGAATTCTTTTATAATGGACACTGCCATAAAAGCTCTGCATTTAGAACAGCCTATTTAAACATTCTGGTGTCGATCTGTTGAATTTATGCATGCCTTCAAGTGTTAGGCTTCCCGTTTTCTGAGATAAGCAACAATTTTCTCTGAAATTGCCCATTATGTGAAATGCGGGGATTCCTGCTAATTCCCATCTGTATCATCACCTGTGTCCAAGTTTGGGGTTTGGTGCAGCACATCTGAGGTTATGTGTATGCACAGTTGAAGGTATTTTATAATCCAAACAATTTAATAAAAATGCAATTCGACTGGGAAAACTAGAAGCTGTGGGCCCTTGCAGAGTGCAGATAATGCTCCAGATTAAAGAGCTGAGCTTTGTTCATTAAAGTCAAGTAACGTGTGTGAATTAGCATTTCCTTGCCGTTGCTTTATTTCAAGAGTATACCATTTCCCCATCATAATAATAGGCTACATTTTCTTAAAATCATTTGATTATGATTTTCTTGCCTATCCAGTTTGCAAATAAAAAGCGTTTGTGGTGATAAACTAGCTGTTTTAAAACAGCCTTAATCTCTGGTTTTGCTTTTCAACTGCTACAGGTCAGACTCTGCGAAAGGCTGAGAGAAGCCGGTCCTGCTCTCGGGAGAACAAGGAGGTAAATGTGTCACTGGCGAGGGCTGGTGGGAGGCAGCTACTTGAAGAGACGGGAGAGCAGGCTGGGGATTAAGTATTCCTGGCTCTCCTCTCTGAGTCCCAAGCTTGAATCCCTGACTAAATAATGGTTGGTAACTAGAGTTATCAACCAGTGTCACTTGTTGGTAATAATCTCTTGTTGAATGTGTCAGTTAGCTTTGTCTGTGTAACAAATCACTGTAACTTAAAAACAGCCATGCATTTATTCATAATTCTGTGTGTCAGCAGTCTGGGCGAGGCTTACCTGGGCAGGTCTGCTGATGGGCCAGGTTCTGCTGACCTCAGCTGGGCTCACTTAAGCATTTGTCACTTACTGTTGTCACCTAGGGCTATCGGTTAGAATGCTTTAGTTCTCCTCCAATGTTCTCTCATCCTCCAGCAAGCTAGCCATATGGAGGGTCAAGACTTCAGAGTTTGAATGGAAGCGTAGGACCTCTTGAGTCCTAGCTCAGAACTGGCATGGTCACTTCTGCCACTTTCTGTTTCTCAAAGCAAGTCACAAGGTCAGCCCAGATTCAAGGGGTGGGAAATAGGTCTCACTTCTTTGAGAGGAAATCTACAAAATATTATGGCCATTCTTGAAATCTGCCATTCTGAACCCATCTGCTCTGTGCCAGGCACCAGCTGGAACTAAGGCATGGGTGAGACAGTCCTTGATCTCAGGATGTGCAACAGATTATTATAATACAGAAAGGGCCCATATAGTGAGAGAAGGGCAAAGAAAGTAGAATTTCAGTACACAAAGGGGGTCACCTAACTCTGCCAGTGATTATTAAGAAAGACTATGCAGAAAAGCTGATGTGTAGGCTGCCTCCTAAAGGGTGAGTAGGAGGTTTCCAGGCCAAGTAAAGGGCACGATCAAAGTCACAGAGACACGAATAGGAAAGCGGCAAGATCATTGAGCCTGAGATGGGAAGTGGTGCAAGGACTCATAGGTTACGCAGGGAGGTCTCAAACTCAGGGGAGTTAAAATTTGAGTCTTAATAGTGGCATATGGGTGCAGGGGTATGAAGGTGTATAGCTTAACATAAATATCAGCCAATCCTGAAATTCATGGACACTTGGGTACTAACATTCTTGATTGTAAAGTGACACAGTTATAAGGGAATTCCTCAGGCTCAGCTGGGCCCAGGGGCTCAAAAATGGCCACACGACTTGGTCTTTCTCTTTGTACGCGTGGCTCTGCTTCCTCTGTGCTGGCCTCCCCCTCAGCCCGCTCTGAGGAGGCAGGTTGGGTTTGGACGCCCCATTTACTTTGTTGTGACTTTCATCCTCTCCTCCTTTTCTCAGCTGCAGCCAGAACAGCCAGTGTGGGTTTTCTTCTTATTCGATCAACCTGCCTGGAATGAGGGCTGGGACATAACTTGGGAAGTTTGATGCTGCTGGGATGATCTAAATAAATGTCAGCTCCAGTGGGCAGTCTAGATGCTGAGCAAGGGTGGATTTTCCTGCTCCTCTCTGGTAGGGAGATTTCTCTGGAAGCAGGCGCAGGTGTGCTCGACTCCTACAAAGAATGGGAGTGAGCTCAGGCCTGCACGCACCTGGTCTTCCTCTGCGAAGTGACCAAGGATGGTGACCAGCCCTGCTCAGCCAGGAATGGATGGTGTAAACCTAACTGATGTCTTAGGTTACGGAACAACAGCATCCCACTCATCCACATTAAGAAGTTAGCTGGGACCCCAGGAAGCAGGGAGCAGGTAACCAGTGGAAACACTCTCCCTCCCCACGCTCCCTGGCAGCAGGACCCCCCTAATTGCCACTTTCCCGGCTAGGCTACTCCCATCACATCAGTTGCCTGAGAGCATTTCAGATCACACTCCTCTTCTGAAAGTTAGGGAAAATAGAGAATGGGGTTGTTTATCACAATATTCAACTTTCACCCTGAAAGATATTTATGGTAAGATGGCTTTGGTCCCTCTGAAAAAGAGGGTGCTGACTCTCAAATAGGGCTTTTGCTTGGTCAGAAAAACAAGAGAAAGAAATTAATGCCATGCTGCCAGGATGTTCATCCTGATATGTCATAACAGGCCTTTTCCATCCACCTCCTCTTTCTGCATCACCCCCCCCTCCGACCCCCCACCCTCCCCTGTCTGTGGAGTCTGCACCTCCTGATGCGCTGTGCCTTACACAGGGTGCCAGGTCTAGACAAGCTTTGTCCCCATGAAAGATGAGAAAAAGACATGCTGGTGAGAACAGGTGGATGACATGTGGCGTGTTCTTGGGCGGTGAGGTTACACGGGCCTCCTTACACCTTGGCCGGAGAACACGTGGTTTCCATGGGTACTTTTCTGAGTGTTCAAGGGCCAACACGGCAAAGGAGGATGGGCAGCTGTTCTCAGTGAGCTTGCCAGGCTCAATTCAGACCAAAGATTGTTTTATTTGGCCCATACTCTATTACAATTTTTTAGAATGAGGTGTCCACATTTAAAAATTGGAGATTTCACATAAAAATGCACACTTCTGGCTTCTTTGGAAAAGTGGAGAATGACAACAGGTCCTTGTTCCTTTATGGTAACAATGGCCATGGCTGCTCTTGAGGATGTGCCCCTTTCAGGAGAGCCCTCCAGGCTGCCTCCCTGCCCCCGTCTCTGCTCTACAGCAAACGGGTTTCAGCAGCTGCATTGCAGGCCCCATGCTGAGTGCTTAATGGCAGTGGTTCACAAACATTGCTGGCCACAGAATCACCCAGAGCTTTTCTATACCCTGACATCCAGGCCTCTTTCCAGAGCAGTTAAAGCAGAATCTCTGGCAGCGTGATCCAGGCATCCGAGTTTTTTAATTTCCCCAAGTGGTTGTGATGGGAAGCAGGGGTTACAGGTGGTAACTAACCCCAGGTGCTTCCCTGCACACGCCCTGCCGGACTGGCTGGAGGACTCCCCTTTTCAAGCCCTCCCTCCCTCCCTCTAGGATGGCAGACATCATAGAGGAGACCCAGGGTGCGGGGGAGGGAGAGAAGACTTCCTGGAAGAGGCATCTTGAGCTGAGGCTTCAGAAGGGTTAGAAGCATTTCTGAAAAATGTGTCTTTGATGGTTGGCTTCAAGTCGGTAGAGACTTCCATGTAGCTGGTAAAAGTATTCTCAACAAGTATTCATGGTTCCTGCCTGTGGAGATTATATAGTGTTTATAGCCCTTAGTCATGAATTATTAATGATTTTGAAATTGTGGCCATTGTAGTTTACTCAGAAATCGTTAGGAAGTAAATTTATCATGCAGTGTTTTTAAAGGAAAGGAAACCACAGAGGAGAAAGAAATCTTTATTCATCACCCCCCTGCCCAGTGTTCACACTGGTGCCCAACGGCACCGGGGCTTGTGGGTACGGCACTGGGAACACGGCCTTCTACTCACGGAGGCAACTGTGAATTAGCCCCACCAGGTGCTTCTGCAGGCAGCCCAGTCATGTGACCTTGGACGAGTCTCTTGACCCTTCTCCTCACTTGATAGCACCCACTATGGTGACTGGTTTGCAGCTAAAGGCTGCAGTGTTCTGAAGCACCTGGTGTAGTGCCTGACCCATAGTAGGCATTCCATAATGTTAGTTACATAATGTTCATCATTCCTTAGAATGTCTAGCATTTAACCGAGAGAGCCATGTCCTTGGACGAAGAGGCAGCATAACTGTACTTCTTTTTATAAAATCTATTTCCAGAGTGGAAGGGAGAGGGAGAGAGATAGAAACATCAATGATGAGAGAGAATCCCTTGATCGGG